ATATTATATTATATTATATTATATTATATTATATTATATTATATTATATTATATTATATTATATTATATTATATTATATTATATTATATTATATTATATTATATTATATTATATTATATTATATTATATTATATTATATTATATTATATTATATTATATTATATTATATTATATTATATTATATTATGTAATATAATCAATAATAATAATAATTAATAAATAATAGGTTACATAATACAGTCATGGTAACTGTTTACTCAATAAATTATGTTCGATTTTTTTTTTTTATGTTTTGTTTTCAAGGGATGTTGTGTAATTGAACTTTTTAAAATGTGATTAACCAACAGTTAGCTGTAAATTAATCATTTATCTCAATTGTTTGTGATTAATCAGGATAAATCAACATGTCTAAATATGACAAAGTAATTAATGTGCACTGCAGCATGCTACCTCAACAGCAGACCAAACAAAAGAATTTCGAATCAAGTCACCCACTTGGCCCCACAGTTGATACTGCATGTAATTGTTGCATTTGCCTATGATTCAGTACAGTAGGTGTCAGCATTTTGCAGTTTGCATGCATCATCACTGAGATCTCAGCCAACTTGGATTTTCCTGTGGGGGGATGGGGGGGGGGGGCATCAATTATCTCTCTAGCACGCTGGCAGCGACAACGTTGTAAAAGTATATGTTTCTGCGCTGCAGCAGGTGCAGGAGACTCAGACTTTCACGTCAGACTGCACTCGAAAAAAGCAGAGGTTTTCCGAGCCTAAGGCCACAATTCCACCACGCTCTGACGGAGCTGTAGTATTCTGCATGCATGCATGAATCTCATGCTCTCTGTTATTCCTAGTCTTCCCTGCAACAGTTACTACAACCCAAAGCATCACATGCCTATACTCTGTGGAAAAAATCAAACAAATCAGGTTAAGGTGACAAATTCGATTTATTCTCTTGCATTTGCATCAGAATTAAATAAGAAAGGTACGCAAGAGGATCCATGCTTATGCAAGTGCGTCTATTATTGGCCTAACCTTGTTGCGGCACACACACTGTGTAATATTTTATGCAGTGCATCAAAGCTGCCAGAGTCTGGAATATTATGTAAAAAGAAGCATTGGGTGTCAGGTCACTTTGACATTCAAGTAACAATCTGTCTCAGCATCGTATCTAGGGGGAATCCTTTGACCTTGTTTGAGTTTATGAACTTGATGGACGTGTACTGAATTAGACAAAACACCAAATAAGGCTACGTTAAATTCATCTCAAGGGTCATGAAATTCGCTGATCTAAGTAATTTGTTCATTCGCTCGTTCCATTTTCCTCATTTATTCTGTATAACGGACATAAGGCTACACATAAAAATGACCAACCATTCACGCCACTGGCCAATTTTAGAGTACCCTAAGAAAACCCTTGCACACGAGGAGAACTTGCAAGCTCTATAAGGAAAGACCATCGTTTACTATGGACCTGCGACCTTCTTGGTGTAAGGCAGTACTTCTCAAATAGCGCCCCCCCCGGGTGGCGCGAGGGGCTTCCAATGGAATATAGCACGCTCGACATAAGTGTACCACTGCTGTAATGCTTGAATGATAACAATCCTCCAGTCACTAGGTGGCAGCAACTCATACTGTGGTTTGTACAGATAAAGATATATATTATTATCAGGTTCTCAATAGTATTTAAATTTGCGTGGGGGCGTGAAAACATTTCTGTCCCATGACAGAAAATAATTGAGAACCACTGCTGTAAGACGACCACAATAGCTCGCCACCATGTGGCCACCTGGTGATTTGCATCAAGCAGATTTTAAGAAGTGAATCATGCCACTTACAGCAGTTGGTGACGGCAAAGCTGTTGGCCACCTCTAGGTTATCTATGTGCGGGGTGAGTCGGAAATCTGCCATTCCAAACTGCACCATCCCAACTCTGAATGCACTGTACTCCTGGTCAGCTCCCCGAGGAAATAGTCCACCTGGGTGAGAGAAGAAGAAGAAGAAGAAAGAGAATTTTAGAATGAGCATCAAGATCAAAAGCTAATGCTGTTGTCTGTAGCAGTAGAAAGTCGCGGTGTTTGATCAGAACGAGATTAGCGGAGCTTATTTTAGCTTAGTTTATCTCAGATTAGATCAGGTTAGATTCAGCTTTATTTTCACTTCACGTTTCAAGTACAAAGCTGTAACAGTGCTAGATGGACACAGTAAAACAGAAAAGATTAATTGAAAAAAACACAATTTTACAGTTAACCAGTGTAACAACAAAAATACTGGAGGAATGTAACTGCAATGACAGTGATGTTGTGCAACATGTGGTTTGCAGCGGGTACAAGCCCTCGCAGAACCAAGGACCAGTCATTCTTGTCTTGACTTTACCATTGGTCCTGAGGGTCTGAGTGTGGTCGACACTACAATTCCCATAACTCTGTTGCATCCGTCGAAAAAACCACATACGTCACGACCAGTGACCTCTGCATCCTTTTAACTGATTCATTGTGTTATAAAAGTAATATAAAATACAACTGCAGCCCAAGCAGTTAATTAAAAGTTAGAAGCTACAAGTCTCCTTCTAAACTTTATTGTGCTAACCGGTCCAGATGGACACTAAAGTAAGGCTGGGCATTTGAACATTTGGTTTTACTATGAGTTATATCGAGGAGTGCTATTTAAACTCAGGGACAGTTTGATTGTGCACATGCTATAAACAGAGTGTAACTGCGTTGTTTTCGGGCCATCTGTATTCCTTTTTAGACACGACGTCGCATGCTCTATCTCTCCTCCTTATGCACCATCAGGACTTCAGTAAAAAACTCCAGATATTTGCAAAATTATGAAAAATCCGTAGGAATTGTTTTCGGGTTTAAAAAGCTGTTTCAAAGCCGGTAACGATTTCACCAAATATGTCGGAAGGTTGGAGAATCACAATAAAAGTAGGTAATGGGAAAAGCTGCATAAATCGGTATCGTTCATGTCGGAATCCGAAATTACGTGTTAGGCCAAAATCGGCATATGGGATATTGGCAAAACGTTCATATCATGGACATCGCTGTTGTAAAGTATTGGGATTAAGGCAGACTGTATGTCAAAGTCGTGAAAAATCCCGCTCTCCGGGTCATTTCCACCGCACTGCCGATTTGCAAGATTTCCCGAGTTCTTGCGTTTAAGACAGGTCATGACACCTTTTAGAAATCGCTGGTGCGTAAAGGGCGAACTGAAGAAATCCGCAGATACACCCAGGGAAAAACGGCCGAAGATCAGCCGTAGGGTTCTGCTGATAGACTGGATTTGTATTCCTGATGGCTGCATTAGTCAAACACAACCGCAGCCGTGCCAGGTTAAAGGTAATAAACAGCGTTTAAAAACGCATTCTTGAGATACAATGATACAACCGGAAAAAAAAAAACCAATCCAAGTAAAGCCGTTCTAGATTTTAATTCAGCAGAGCAATGGCACTGGGAACTGAGTGTCTGAATCTATTGACTTTCACAGAAGGGAATCTAACACATGAACCAGGGGGTAATAACTTGAACCCGACAAAGAAGCCGGTGGTGACCCGGTGCGAAAAGAAAATTCTATAAAGGAAGGAATTCTGATAAAGACGCCAATGACAGAAGTGTTTTTTTTTAATTGTTACAACCTTGACTGCAGAAGTTTTTTTTTTTTTTAATTGTTACAACCTTGACTTGCACTATTATCTGTACGTTATACAGCAACAGCCACCCCAAAAAACCTAATATTTGTATTTCACATGTACTGAAGACCAAGACTGAATATTTCATCAGGAAATTGTATGTCGGCTCAGCTGCAGCCCTGCTGATGAAGCTGGCAGAATGAGGTCACAGTTCTTACACCCAGGCTGAAGAGACCGCAGTGGCCTTCACGGACTGACTGAGTGTGCGTCTGACAAGTTGCTGAGCCTCTGCTCACATTAACAAGGCCACCATTATTAATGGGCATCAATTCGGTGGGGATGTCACATGGGCTCGCCCTCCTTTCATAGTCCGGTGCCCGACCCTTTTTCTCTCCGTCTATTCATTGTCTCCTGCTGCTCCCTTCAGGGGTTGACCTAGCAGATCTTTTGCCTCCATCTTACCCTGCCTGCAGCCTGCTCTACTGTAACATTTTCGTGTGCTCCTTCACCTAGTCCTGCGTGTTCCCATCAATGCGGTCCAGTCTATCACTACTCCTCGACAAACCAAACATCTCAACGTGTTTCACTAAATTTAATTCTCAATACTCAGACTTAAGTGTTTCCCAAGTACTGGGTGGGGAGCCAAGGTTGGGGCAAAAATGACTGATGTTAGGCCTCAAATATATGTACTACCTACTGCGAATACATGCCCTGCAGAGACATTTGATATACAATATATACATATATGTATACACACATATACATATATACACGTGTATACATATATGTATGTATACATTTTCAAAGCATAGAATAATTAGTACATTTGAACTAATTCAACCATCACTATGAAATTCAAAGTTTGAATAGAAAGGGGAGGGGTGAGCAGGGAAGTCCTCTGATTTTTTTTAAATTTTTTTTTTTAAGTACGCTCTGCAAACATTTTAATAATAAATCGTCTTTACACAGTGGGCTTAAAAGAATGAGGGAGAAACTGCACATTCCAAGCTAATGACACCATAAAAGTCCATCAAAAATATGGTTTCAAGTTCTGAAGGTCACAGTAAGAGCTGATCTACTGCTGCTGCCGTATTTGGTTCGATGGTGTCACTGTAATAAATACAACGAAAGACTCTCTAACGTTCAACCTTATACATTATAGACGCTGCCATATATACATATGCAATTTGGAGTCGAACAGCAGATGTTATCGGTGCACCTAATATTGTTGCTGTTATAAGTAATACAATAGCAATCACAGTAATGATGAAGGGTTTAGGCTCATATAGACATGCAATTTGGAGTCGAACTGCAGATGTTATCGGTGCACCTAATGTTGTTGCTGTTATAATTAATACAATAGTAATCACAGTAATGATGAAGGGTTTAGGTATTGAATGAATCTGTACCCGATTAACATCTGAGCTGTAACACTGCAGCGAGAGTGGCTTATGAAATCACAGCCACTTCTCCAGTCCACTGTGTGGGCTGCGTGGACACTGATGTCTGCAGATGCATCAGTGCATGCATTGATCTCCCGTGTGCATGTGTGCGTTGTATGTATAAACGCCGCATGTTCAGTGTCCCACACTGAAACCTGCTCTTATTAATAATTTCTTCCGCTCACAAACGCAATGAATCCTCCCGGTAGTCGTTAATATTTAACAGGGCAGGGATGATCCAACAGGAAGTGGATCAGAAAAAGAGCTCACTCGGATTTTTACCCTCAACTGCTTCCACTTTCTGACCCAGATGTTTGTTTGTTACTAATCCTTAAAATGCTTATGTGTATTTTTTTTTTTTTTTAGAAACTGATACAAAGTCAAACTCGAGTTTCAAACAACGAGTTTTCATTGCAAACATTTTGCTCAAGTTTAAGGTAATAGCTCGTATTGATGATAGCATGATATAATTTTTTTCGGATTCCTACATTTCAGTATGTAAAATAAAACACTTAATAGAGTAAAACTAGGAGAAAAAAAAATAAACAAGGAACATTTGCTATACGTTGCGCTAACTAGGCCAGCTACTTCTGCGTCGAATGACAAATCAGCCTTGTTCTGTAAACAACAAAAAGCTGCAGATACCCATGAACTACTTATCTTTGATACTGACGCACAATGTTTAAAATTGGAAGAAAAAAAATTATTTTTTTGGCTTTAACTATGAATCTACTCCAGTAAATCGGTACTTTTTTGGAAATGTGCAAAAACTACACTCTATTGGAATTATTTTTTACTTTTGATTTGCAGCCAATCCCAGCATTCCTCAGGTGAATGTGGGCTATACCATCAGAGGTTAGCCAGTATTGATGTTTCCTGTCCCTGACCATGACCTCACGTACCAGTATTTTGCACTTTCTTTATTATTATTATTTACAGATAGTTTAAGATTAATCTGAGAGAACAAATGCATTTCTTTGATCCCAGCTAGCTTGTTAGATTTTTGTCTATTTCTCAACTACTATGGATTTGTTTATCTGGAATTTGTTATTTTTTTAACAAATGCGTTGTCGTAACTGACCATGTGAGACCGCTTGGAATTCTTTATGGAGTAAAATGAGGATGGGAAGAGTGGGGAAATGCCTGATGCAAAAGTAAGTGTCTGAAGAGAAACCAATCAAAGCTCATCTTAGTGATTCACACTGCAGTATAACGTTACAGGCCAATTTGTTGCAGAGCGACTATAAAAAATACTGGATTGACCACATGAAAGTAAAACTGACTGAAAAGATTTCAGACTGGATTACCAAATCATGAGCTCTCTCTACACAGAGGATAAAAAAAAAAGTCATCCCAAGGTAAAATAACAATTAAAATTACAAAAAAAACTCACACCTCAAATTAGGTTTTAAGGAATGTTGAGGTAAAGAGGGAAATTACTGGTTGGAACCTCAGGGCTATGATGATACAAGGCTTAGAAGAAAAACACACTGATCAGTGTTTGATGCCCAAGGTGAAATGGTTTGAGGCTACATTTGAGATGTCTGGAATGTGGTCTAAAGCAGGGGTGTCAAACATATGGCCCGCGGGCCAAAACCAGCCCGCTGGGGTGTTCAGTCCGGCCCGCTTGATGAATTAAAAAAAAAAAAAATAAATGTGAATAAATAATAATACATATCTATTGTAGTTGTACTTATTTGCATGAAGACAAAGGGGAAAAACACTTATAGTTGTACTTCTTTGCATGAAGACAAAGGGGAAAAACACAGACTTATTGTTGTTTATAGTGAATTATGTTATGATCGTACTGGTACGTCCTAATTGACATCTATGTAAAAATAAGTTCGACACCCCAGGTCTAACTAAAACCCCCCAAGAAACCATTGAAACGATGGTTTGCAAAGCACAGATGTAGGGGTGTCTGGGAAGTTCATCTTAACATGACAACAATCGTCAAACAGCCTTGGAGGAAAACAACGGACGAAACAAGATCCCTACTTCACTGTCCTTGATTTTTTTTCTATGGTCTCAGTAGGATCCAATTAAACACATTTTAAAAGTCAATGACACCAGTGGTTTGAAAGTGTAAGGCACTTCACCACCTGGGGGCGCCAGAGCACTTCGGGGGTGATGCGAAATAATAAAAAAAAAAAACGTGCATAGGACAACATCTAAACTAGCTAACCGACATAAGAAGTAATAATAAAAAAACATGCATAGGACAGAATCTAAACTAGCTAACCGACATAAGAAGGAGTTCATGTTTTTTATTCATATTGACAAAGGAGAGTGAATCTACTACTGCAAGAAAAACAGGAAGTACGACAAAGATATTTTTTTCTCGGGTTGCGATTTTTACGATCATTTGTTGAACAATTATTTTACTACAAGAATAGAAGAGAAAATGCAAACTTGAAGGATAATACTGTTTTTGGGAGTGATTCCGTTTTTTGTTTTTGTTTTTTTATTTCTTTTCGCCCCTTTTTCTGCAGTGATTTAGTTTTTTTAAAATTTATTTATTTCTTTTCGCCCCTTTTTCTGCAGGTGGTTTGCGATGATAAGTTCACGTCCGAATGAGGAGAGACCAATTTTAACTTTAAGTTCAGTGTTGTAATTTGTGTTATTTATTCACAAGGAGAAGTCAAATAAAATCACTTTTCTTGAAACAACAAGAAGAAATAAAAAAATAAAAAAAACTCTGCTACCTGCCAGAACCTGATACCACACCTTCGCTAAGGTAAGAAAATGTTAGGACTGGCCACTGACACTCAAGACACCTCAGACCTCTTACAGGATGCAACAAATGCAGAGACCTAATTATAGCGGCAGTGTCAATAAAAAGGGATGCAGCTGATGATCCAAGCCTCTAGGGGTCGTCACGTGTACCTGTGTATTTTGCAGATCCAACTGGGACTCATGGAAGAGCTGCATTTGACTGAACCGTGCACGTGTATCCATCTCGCTATATTTCAGTTAACACGCGTGCGCGTGTGCGCGCGCCGCACACTCCACTGCAGTGCACATGCACATGTTGACATTGATAAATATAAAGTGTCAGAGACATATTGGGGGTGGGTGGGCGGGGGGGTGAGGATGTTGTTGACACAACTGGAGCAATGTTTCACCGCGGTTTGATGATGAGGATGATGAGGAGGAGGAGGAAGAAGAAGAAGAAGAAGAGGAGGAGGCCTACGGAGATGAGAGGCCCACGCTGAGGACACGATGGTGATGATGATGATGATGATGGTGGTGATTAAGAATGGCAGCTGAGGAAGAGAGGTTAGACAAATTCATGTTTCGTGTTCAAACAGACTGATGAGAAGGGGGTGGGGGGCGACGGGAGTCTACGAAGATCCTCACCGATCTGGACGCTCGGAGCTCCGCACGACGCTTGGCGCCACCACAGGAGCGTCAACGCAAACAGCAGCAGCGGCTTCGGCTTCATGATGGTGGAGGTGGTGGTGGTGGAGGTGGTTGGCGGTGATGTGCAAATGCTCCTCACTCCACGCCACAACCTGAAAACCTGCACTGAAACATCACCTACGGGACACGGGATGGAGGCGAGCTCATGGCGTGTGTCCAGCAGCTCCGCTCTTCTCCAGCTCTGCGGATGAATGGATGGATAGCGGCTCTCTCCCTCTTTCTCTCTCTCTCTCTCTCTTTCTCCGTGTGCGCGTGACACCTCCGCTGTCGCTGCTGATGCTGCTGTTGCTGCTGGGCTGGGAGCGCGCACGCCGGACGAAGAAAACCTTTGAATACCGATGAGAAACGAGCGAGAAACGAGCGAAGCCGACAGCTCGGTGCCAAGGAGGAGCACAGGCGTCCAATGGAAATACAGGGCCGTGGTCAAAAATGGGCACCCCAATAGCTGGGTGACCCAAGATTATAGGACAGGGACCAAGGCATGGACACATCATGAGGTCAAAAAGTGATACCCAGTTTTTAATATTTTAGAGCTTTTAGAGTGCGGTTTTGAGAGTATGAGTTGGGGGAGGGTGGTTACAAGTGCAACAAATAGAGAGCCATTTCAAATAAAGATGTTATCATTTAATCATGCAGTCATATATATACACACATGCGCACACACACATGCATACGCTAAAGACTCAAAACCCCAAACACTGAGACGTTTCTTCCCTTTTGCAGTATTTCAATATGCAAAAACTCAAAATAATGTTTCGGTCCCAAAATGAACAGCCCACACGACAGACAAGGCAAAATGACAGACCGACAACTCACGTCATATCATCTTTGAACGTTGTTCAGCTAACCCTAAATTAAGGCTTCATCTTCCTCAATTTTTTTCCGTTTCTATCGGTTTTCCTCAGCTTCACTGTTTACCTGTTGAAGTTTACTTCTACATGACATTCAGTTGAGTAAATACATTTTGCTTTCTATTCCGTACATCCGGGTCAGAAAATCTCAGCTAGCGCTATAGTTGAAACACTGCTAAGTTCTGCTTTTGAACTTTTTTAAACTATGCAAATTGAATCCGTTGTGTGTTTTTTTGTGTGTTTTAGCTCAATCAGACTTCATGCATGTATTCAGAACATCACAGCTCCATTTGGAATATTTTAAACCACGTCTAAAATACACAAAAAATACACTTAGTCCATCTTTGATGGTCTAGATGCACTTCGGCTTTTAGCAATAGTCAGACCAATTATCATGTCGGTAGAAATGGTCACGCTGAAATGATCTGGTGTATGAAAATCCCCTGATGTTATACACAAAAAATACGCTAACGTGAATCTTTGATTTTAGATATTACCGGAAAATCTCCTTCGAGTTAGCTAATGAAAACAGACGTTAACTATTTCTTGTCACGAAAGATCACCAGGTTGATTGATAAATTGTCCTTGACTCATGGTCAATGGTTCGTCTCAAACTGTCCAAATGTACCTGAACCAAGTTGACGATCAGAGAATGAACGCGGCAAGTTCAGAATGTCGTTAACGTCGTCCATTTCTCCAGTTTACCACTGTCAGAGGCACCAGATGTCACCAGATGGGGCTCTTCCTGACTTCTGCTTCAGTAACTTTATGCTGCTTTTGATGCAAACTTTTTTTTTTGCTCCTAATAGCCTATGTTTTCTTCTTCAGAGTCGGTTGTGCTGTATCTCCCCTGAGTATAGCATTCCTTTAAATTATCATCCTGGGGTGCAGTGCTGTTTTTCCTCTTCATGCAAGACCATGGATGATTGGTCGGTTGTTTCTTTCCGTAGACCAAGTATAGGTAGATTGATTTCACTTCCATTTTTTTGCAGTTAGTAGTCTTTCTTGTTGGTTGCTCGCTGTCTTCCCGCAGACTTGGCAACATTTTGCGCATTGCTGACTCGATTGGTTTGTAGGTCGGTTGTTTTGTTGGTTAGTTGGTTGCTCAATCTCAAATTAAGCACATTGATGTACAGTGGTCCCTCGTTTATCGTGGTAGATAGGTTCCAAGGCCTGCCGTGAGAACTGAATTTCCGCGAAGTAGTGACACCATATTTATGCGCAGTAAAATGATGACGAGTGAATGAAATTCGCTGATCGCTCCAGAGGGTGGTGGCCATTTCTTGGGGCACCTCTTCCACGGTTTCTGAAAGTGTATCCGTAGTAGTAGCAGGAACTGACTCTTTTTTGCGAGGCTGCAAAAACATCGTGATCGGCAGTTGCTTCTGCTGCTTCTTTTTCCAGTCGAAGAGTAGCTTGTAGGCAGTCACGACGTCGTCGATTTTGTTGAAAATTGGACCGATCGAACCACATCTCTTGCAGATCCAAATCCGGAATACGGTATATTTTGCTGGTATAAACCTGTGAAGTCGTGAATCCGCAAAATTTTGCTGGTATAAACCTGCGAAGTCGTGAATCCGCAAAAGATGAACCGCGAAATAGCGAGGGACTACTGTATATTCCTACCCTGAGTAGTTACCAAATGCTCCATGTCCTTGGATCTTAGCGTGCAATTTTGAAGTATAGTTCCATCTCCATTCCTTCTGTTTTTGAATTTTCCAATCCAGACCAAACACTTTGGTTGGTTGGTTGCTCCCTTTGGCTTGTTGTCTGCATTGGATAGTCATCGCTCTGTGGATCCCACCTTTGAAAGCTGCAAACACACCTTCAGGTGATCCCAAGGAACTGGAAGTGCTCGAGGCTGGTTATGGCACAGTATGATCCATTCTGTCGACAGCATACACCAATACAGATAGAAACTAAGCACAGGTATGTGCAGTCCTCCCACTTCTTGGAGCTGATGCAACACTTTGGTTTGCGTTTTTTTTTTTTTTTTTTGGCCTAGTCTTTTTTCAATACTGGCCTGTAGGTTTGTGGAACACCTTTCCTTTTGTTTCTACATTCCCATTATTGCTTCAAAGCAGGTTTTCCAAGAAGTTCCTTCTTGCTATGGTGAAGACTCTTTTGCTTTTAAGATACATTGATTCCATTATCCATCTGGTTATCAATTAAACGTGACTGGTACACCAGAATTACGAGAAAGAAAATGCTCAAAGTCGCTGGCTATAGTTTGCTGGAATTGTCTGTCATTGTTGAAAGACTCTGTGAGGAAATGATCAAATTGTGCTTTCAGGTCCTGTACATTTTGGATGTAGTCCACGCGGTTGTCACCCTCTCCTTCATTGGCCAGAGCTTTCCCTTGTTCCCTCAAGTAGGAACTCATGGAGTCACACATTGTCTTCAACCCATTGGGAACGCCACTGAACAGCTTGTACATGCACGCCATGTCTTCAGTTTTACCCGTCTTAAGCATATGGACAAAGCCAGAATTTTCCATTTCTATAATCGTTTTCATGTGTCTACATATGAGCTCCCGTTCTATCAGTTTCATAATAGGTTCTTCTGTGGACTTGTCGCAGCAGTGCCGGACACGTTCCAGCTCTTCGTTAATCCTGGCTTCTACCTTCTTTATGTAGAGACAGGCGTCGTTTTCAGCAAGAAAACGTTGGCTCTCTATTTGAAAGAATTCAGCTGACATGTCTAAGAAGGGTCCTTCAAAGTCCTCCTCGTACACGGACCTACCATCCAGGCTGAGAATTAGTAGCATCTGACAGGTGTTTCTAATAGCTTCCCGGTCTACAACCTCGCCATTTCTCTCTCGTGCAATCATGTCCAATAAAGTTTGGTGCAGGTGCTCTTGAATACATCCATCGTGAATCACGTGGTCCCTGAATATGATGAGGCCCAGGTTGTAGACATTCTCCATATTGTTTTGTTGAACATAGACCTGGTCCATGTACATCAGGATGTCTCTGATCATTACCATGGCAGTTTGATGGTCATCCCAAGCCAGATTAAGTGTTTGCAGAAAGTTAGTATTCAGAGAGTTTAGGACGTTGCCCACTACCTTATCAAGGAGGTGCTCGGTGATAATCTCCCTCAAACCCGTGTACAGCTTCTCCCCCTGCTTGTGTAGAACCATGGTATAAGCATTTCTGTACAGCTCTTCAAATCTCAGATCCCTGTTGTTCTTCCTTTGGATATCCTGGATTGCGTTCCTCAGAAAGTACCAGATGTTATTCACATATTTCTCATCTATTGTCATTGGAACAGCTTGGATCCTCATCTTGTTGGTCTTTTTGGTGCTGCCTTTGAGGTTGGACATGATTAGTTTGTTGCAACGTTCCTCCAGTTAGTCTTTGCTGTTGCTTTAAATCAGTGGCATCTCTGTTGTTCTGTTGCTACGCTGATTTATTTCTCTACTTAAAAGGAATCTGTGGGAAGCTGCCTTTTATGTGTCATTGATCTTTTTCAATGACATCATGATGTCACATCAATAGGGTGTGGTTTAAAAACCTGAGTTGTTAAAATTATTTTTTTTAAATGTAGTCTCTAGGGTTACTGTCTATAAATTTTACTGAGCCACATTTTTATCAGGAGAACGTTTAATAAAATATAAGAAATGTAACTATGGATGTACGGAATCTTCTTTTTTTTATTATTTAAAAATTTTCCAGCTCGAAAGGCAGACGTTCCCACAGGGAATAAATGTTTTTGCAGTACGTTGTGATAGTCATGTCAGAAATTCCAATTCCTAATTGATGGTCATTTCTGTATTTTAAACTGCAACTGCATTTGTCGCAATAGAAAGCTGGCATTAATATGGGCATCACTCCTTTTAGAATTGATAATTTATTTTTTTTGCACCAATTTTTTAAAATAATGTTTGTCAGTTATGTCACATCATTTTGTCACATTTATTATCTGTGCCTCTGAATTAAAAATTCCGGGGAACCATTGGTGTAACACAGTCATTGGCAGTCTCCTGTACATTGTACATATAATGTATGTTATTTGATATATTCTTTTATGTTTTCCCATGCACATAAAATACGGTATTTTATTTTGACAATTGCATTTTGGAAGACAAAATAATTGTCGTTTATACAATATTCAAAACTAAATGAAACATGCGCAAAAAAGGTAATATCAGCAGCCCTTGTACTGCACATTTCCATATGCTGAGTCGGGAAAATAACATCCAAAATTTTACAAAAAACATCTGGATTTCCAAATAAAAGAAGAAAATTACGTATTACGCACAAGCAGCTTTAGTCTCACATTTTGGGACAATTTGCTATTCATTTTACAAACATGCTGTTGTAATTAAAAATTAATGAAATTTAAAAAAAATAAAGGAAATCTTACTGCTGTCACTGCACATATTTCTTATTCACATGGGACGCTGGCAGAAAAGAATGGTCATGGAAAATCAAATCGTGCGTCTTAGAAGACAATTACAGTGTGTGTGGATTTACTTTTAAATTAAGTTTATTTATTTTCCCCAGCAGGTGGCACTATAGCTGTGGCTGGATATTGGCATTTAAAGGGTAAATGCAGTAAATACCTAGCAGGGGGTTTCTCAGATATTTCTCCACAGGGACTGTATGTATGTGTGAACTCAAAGTCTGCAGAAGTCACTCAGGACAAATTGCTAAAGTACTGCTGCCAAACACTTGGACATGGTCCAAGTGGAGAGTTAATGTGCCAACACAGCAGAGGAAACATCTGAGCACCTACAGAAAACCTTTACGTGGATTAACATGAAAAACCTTCTGCGGCAGTGAATACACAACACAGTCTGAGTCTTCTCTACCAGGCTGAAAATAAAATAAATAAATAGTTTAAGGCAACCTGGCACCTTTACGTCCCATTGAGCATATTTTGGTCTGACCCAGTGGTAAACCACACATATATTTTACACAGAAACAGAATTAAATTAAATTCAATTAATTAATGAGGAAAATGCTATTTCACATACAGCAGCATGGCGCCAGGTTTTAGCTACAGACGACAAAGTTATTAATGACAATTTTCTTTCAACATAATAATTTTCATGCTGCTTTTATGCTAGTTTCACAAGAGGAAAGTCAAAACTTCTCAGTATAACTGTACGATATATCTGTAAAGACTCCAAAATACATAACTATGCTAAAAAGAAAAGCCTGTCAACAATATGTCAAGACTTTATCACTACAACATGATATAAGTCTTGTTGTCATCTTCTCTGCTCCGTTGTGACAAATATATATCTTTTTCTGTGAATTATTTCTCGTTGCATACATATTGGCCTTTTGTAAGCTTAAGGCTCAACCCCATTTTCAAACCTTAAGCTTAAGGCTCAACCCCATTTTCAATTTTAGTAAACTATTACATCACAACATACTTCTGGAACGCTCTTTTAGGAATGTGCTAGGTTGTTGTTTGTTTGAATAAAATATACGAGTTGCCTGTTCTTACTCTTTTTTATGTCTCTGTTATATTTACTTATTTATCTTGCAGCTACATTTTATCTCCAGCTTAGAGAATGGCCACAGTAGGCTTCAAACGATTTTTGCTTCATTTAGCTTAGCTTTAGCAACGCGCTAATCGCTGTTAGCGCCATGGCTAATGTTCTGTGAATACTGTCTTTAAAAAAAGGCTCCCATTACCTTAAGATTATTTTCTGATAATTTGAAAATTAGCGAGGAACATCTTAAATAATAATAATCTTTTATAAATAATAATAAATAATGTTACAATCCTGCTTTACCACCAAGCAAGTGGTGGTGGATGTTTTAGCCTGCAGGAAGTGCAGGCTAAGTTCAGGAAGTGTGGTTGAAGTTTTTTGGAATTTTTTTGCTTTTCTTTTTCTACGTACAAGCAGAAAACGTCTCATTATAAATTGTTTACTTGTAGTTTTTAGTAATTTACTATCAGTATCAGTTTCTTGTTTTCTTTGACTGACCATATTCCTGCTTTGTCTTTTATCTTTTGTTGATTTTAGACAATTCACTCACAATATATTTTAAACCTTAGCTGTATTAATTTTTAATAAAATATATTTTATTATACAGTATTTTAAGAGAAATTTAGTCTGACCTTGGCATGTTTTCTCCTTTGTTTCTTTTCCTTTCCACTTTCTCCTCTTCGCTTCCTCCCCTGCTCTTTGCCTGCATCGTCATCTCTGCACCTGCACCTCGTTACCTCGTTCCCTACTTTGGCTTGTATTTAGCTGGTGATTAGCCCTCCGGTCCATACATGTGTATGGTTTTGTCTTTGACAAGTCTGTGTTTTTTGGGGGGTGTGTGAAAATCTGTAAATTTAGAAATACATTTTCGGTTCCTGCCTTCAGCCCTTCAGCCTTCCTTTGTGACAAAATGACTTCATCGGCAAATAACCTATTGATTTTAATTCGGACCTGCACATTTTATTCAACACTCTTGAGGCATTACAGACAGTTTCAAAGACTTTTGACCACAAATTAAATAGGTTGTCCAATCAGTGGCACCGGAATACATTTCTCTTGACTTTTCCTTCATTAAATTATTGATGGTTTATAGGAATTGACCAAGGGCCAGAACTTAGACCAGAAGTAGATTATCTCCTGGAATAGAATTTAATTGAGCCTTACTGACAATATTGAAAGCACTTGCAGTATTACTATTTACAGCATAGAGATATTGGCGCAAGGTTATAAAGCACAATATCTTAACAGAGACACACATGCAGTGTCAACCTAGTGCATGGCTTTTAGGGTGTTTTAGGTCTTAAATCAACGCCATTTGACCACAGGTTTCAGTGCAGCATGATGAAAAAAAAAAAAAAAAATACATTAGCCATCTTCATTTCAGCAGTGTAGGATTATGTACATGAACTTCAAAGAGTATTTTAGGCATCGGTATGGTCGGTCTAGGCCCTCACAGGTAGACAGACCAGTAGACGACGTTGAAGAAGAGGAAGGAGAAAGGGAAAAGCGCTCTTGCGTAGAGGTCGACGCGTTTGGCAGCAGCAGGTATGACCGGTTTAGGCGGTGGCGGTTTCTTATTGGCTTTGTTTTTGGACTTGAGGGCCCCCAACACTTCCACCGGTTTGCCGTAACAGTCAAAGTTAGAAAGTTCAAAGTCTCGAGGTAAAGATCCCACAATGCTGAAATCGTTGGATCGAAGGTCCGACTTAGAGGTGCAAACTTTTTTGCAGCGAGTTTCAACCACCTGCTAATGGAGAAGAAAGAAAAAAAAAGTCAAATCACATTTCTGCCTCTCTTAGTTCCGATAACGTAGAGCTAACTGTATAATATTTTGCGTTATATTTGTATTATTACTATTCTTCTAAATTAGTGTTAATTAACCGAAATAGCTTTAGTGGCATATATTGCCGCACAGATGAATAAAAGTACAAGGAGAAGGAGCAGTAGTTACCTATAAAATAGGGAGGGAAATGCTGTAAAATGATGATTAGGCTGGTGTGTAATTTACCTGCAGAGTGTTGACATGTATGGGTGTCCCACCAGTACCATTCACTGTGTTGTTGTTTTTATTTGCAGGTTTCTTTCCTTCTCTCTCTCTCAGCGCTTTTTCTTTGTCGGCCATTTTAGTTTTTTCCTCCTCAATCCGTTTAGGGCTATTCAGCATCACCTGCAAACCAAGAGAGAGGGTGAAAACAAGCTATAGGGTTTGAATTGACTTTTCTTTTTTTTTTTTTTTTTTCAGTAGTGCCCTCCTTTCATGAATAGTCAAAAAATGTGAAAATATCGACTCGTAATGGGGCTCTGGAGGTTCGAAAGTAGAAAACCACCTGGCATTACATAAGTGAACCTGCAGCATCAGCAGATCTGATAAAGGATCTGACACGGGAAGAGCAAGAGAATGCCTGCAGACTCGTTTGCAGACATCAGGTTTTGTCATGTTTATCTGCGCATATTTGGGAAAGTGCTGCTGTTTTTTCTCTTTTTTTGTATGAAGTTTAATGCATTGGACAAAAGTAGACTACGGTTAGTAAAAAAAAAGTAGACTACGGCCCCCAGGGGGGTCCGCCCCACCATTTGAGAACTACTAATTTAAAGGAACTCACCTGCACGACTGCATACTCCACAAGAGAGAAACACCCAAAGAGCAGACAGGCAATGAGCCAGATGTCGATGGCCTTCACGTAAGAAACCTTCGGCAGCTCTGACGCCAAGGACATACTCTCACTGGATAAGGAGAGAACTGATAAAATACCTAAGAAAGAAAGGAATTAACAACGACAACGTTACCAACATGCAGGTTTGCAAATGAGAAGACTTCTTAAGATCCCCGACCGGGATGTTTTACAGTCCGCAGAGACAGCTACCTAAACCTTGATCCATGAAAATGAGTGGTCGCCATGTTGATGTAAACACTCCATAACTCAACGTTAGCACTCACTCACCCAGGGGCACCCTGGCTGCTGACGCATCAGGATTTATCCAGAAAGACAACCAGGACAAAACCACGATCAACAGGGTCGGAGCATAAACTCCCATCAAGTAGAAACCGACCTGACGACGCAAAGTGAAAATGACCTCCACGCAGGTGTAGTATCCTAGTAAAGAAACATTTTTTTAGAAATTCAAAATCAGCATTAGAACTGTGCAGAGTCTTAGAGGTGATGATTATAAAGGAGAAGAACAAGAATTTTGAGGATCCGCCCACACCGTACTGCAAAAGACATCCGAGTTTATCTGTCTTTTTTTAAAAAATATACCCTAAACACTTCATATACTTTTACGTACTGTAACTGCGAACACCTACTCACCAGTTCCTTTGTAGTACTTCGTGCAGTTCCCATATTTGATGTCCTCCTGTTTGATGTCGAACTGAGGTAGGGCAATCTCATCCATCTGAACTGGGTCTGACTGCCACATGAAGACCAGATCACTGGTGGTGTAGCCGACTGGAAAATCCAAACAAAAACACACGTGTAAAATCCTTAAAAAAATTATGAAAATACACAACAACACTCTCAATCTCAATCACGGGATCACAATCGTGAATAATCGCGATCATAATTATACACAATTAATCATGACCAAAAAAAAATGTGTATTTTTGGAACAGAAAGATAAATAACAGCAGGTGTTGTTATGTTGTTTTCATTTGTGACTAATCAAATTGTCAAGAAAAAATATTCAAAAAGGAAAACTCCAAAATTCAGCCTGATAGAGTTGGTGGACTCGATGCAACGTTGAATTCCTCAAATTCCCCTCCAAATACTTGCTTTACCGCCCTAATAAATTCATTTATAATCAGCCGTCCTCTTTGGAAAAACAAGTAATCTACAGGTTTGATTTAAAGCCCCAGACTGTCGGAATGACTGGAATCCAATACTGAGAAGCAGACTTCTCTTGCTTGCACCTTACAATTAAAAAAAAAAGCACAGCCAGCCACAACGATGACCCGCGCTGTTCTGTTGTTTACATAGTTATTTTCCAGTAGAGGACAAGGGTGAAGCATAAGCTCGGTCTGGGCCACTCTGTGTTTTGCCACCACTGAACCCGTGGGGTTGAGTATTCACTAAAGTGTAAAAACAAAATTGTTTCCGCTCCGTTTACAGTCAAACTGTGTGCGTCTGCTCACAGCTCTCCAGTTGCATCTTGCATAACTGTGTGTCCATTGGGAAGAGAGTAAGATCCAGGGGACAGGACAGAGTCACTGACAGCCTACACACACACACACACACACACAAAGAACAAACAGAAGAAGAACAAACGTTATTGTTTTGCAACCAGATGGCGCCATCCAATTCTTCTTTTTTTTTTCTTTCAGCTTTGTCCCTTTTTTTTTCAGGAGTTGCCACAGCAGATCATTGTTTTCCATCTCTCCCTGTACTCTGCAGCCATGCATCTCCTCTTTGACCTTCCTTTTTTTTCTCCTACCTGGTAGCTCCATCTCTAACGTTCTTCTACCAATGTGTCCACTGTCCCTCCTCTGCACATGTTTAATTAATTCATTGTTTATATCAAAGAATCTACAAATGTGGGCTGCACTTTTTCACTCCACAATATTTAGTGTTTTCATTCTTCTAAAACACATGTGTCAAACTCAAGGCCAGGGGACCAAATGTGGCCCGCCGAGTAAACTTAGAAAGCATTTAATAAAGTCCATGCAGCAGAGTTTCTTAACCTGATCAATTATTTGGCCCCCGGGCCTTGAGTTTGACACGTATGCTCTACTGAGTGAAAATAAAATGAATTTCCTTGCGGTACATTTTTAAATGTAAGGTCTATGATTGCTTAGGGACCTGTCACCAGTACCTCATACTGATCAAAACATCTCCGTTCCTGAAGATGAAGAGGAGAATGTTGTCCTGGGTCACATCGTGGAAGTTGGCGTTTTTCTCATTGGCGAAGAAGAGGTCCGGTTTCCACAAACACTGGAACATCTTCGGGTCCACAGTCAGCGCGTCACTTTTAAAGTCGGTGGGAAGTCGAAGGCGAGGGTCGTTCCACCGCTGACGAAGGAATATGTTTATTCTGTAGTCCTGTAAGGGGAGACACACAAGGACATTCTCTGTGTTTGTAGGCGCGTTCGGTTTGTCCAAACACAAAGATTGGGACGATGAGGGGAATGCGATGCCATGACAGTTAGGTGTCCCACCATGGTGGTCTCCTGAATCGACCCAAAGCTGTTGATGAAGATGTTCACCCTGGACTCCACTGGTATACCTGAAACGCATTCATACAAAAAATACAAAACCAATTCACAAACAGACCATTTACTAAAG